TCCTGCGATTTGGCCGGTCACGCCAGGTAAGAACAGCTCAAGTCTCAGAAACTAAGCCCATTGCTGATCAGAGACCTTCGATTATCCTGGTTGAATTGTCCAAACCACCTCCATCTCAGCACTGTGATCCCTGTACTCCCACCTCCAATAGCCTCCAACACCTGGAGCAGACGGCTTTTCCCCGTGACATGAATGTCACAACAACTGCCCCGGTGACTACAGTCTATAACGTTGAAGACACCAACTCAAGCGCCAACTTTCCTTCTCTCTCCAGCTCTCTGAGTGACTCTTCATCCCTGGACTCCTCATCGTTCTGCTCCAACCCTCCTACAAACACCATCTCGTGCCCCCCTGAAACTGTTTTCTCCACCCCAGTGCACAGTGACAATCCCTTGCCCCAGCAGCCGCCGTCTCATGAAGAGCCCTTGTCCCAGCAGCCGCCGTCTCACGAAGAGCCCTTGCCTCCATCTTGCGAGCAGAAACATCTACTCTTTCTAGAAGAAACCAATAACGCTGCTGCAACGACTCCTCTCCACTTGCAGCCCGCCCAAACTTCGGTAACACAACCTCTCCAATTCAAAACACTCTCCAACAGTCATTACCTCCTATTGAATCAAGAGTCACTACTTCCCCAATACCAATAGCTCCACCGGTACTCGCGGCGACTACACCCATCGCTGAGCAACCCATCGTGTCCCTGCAAGCTAACAAGATGGTCGCCACCCATTACATCCGGACAACATTTGAAAGGGACAGGTGCCTCCCTCAAGCCCCCAAGACCAGATCCCAACCCAACAAGGCATCCTACCAAGAGTTCCCTCTACGACTACATAGGATCTTTAAAGATCCTACTGGAGGGGGAGTAGTGTGGCGACCGCACTTTGCTTCAGCGATCAAAGCTTCAAAACACATACGGGCAGAAAGATGGCGGCCCCACTTTGCCTCGGCAAGCACGTGTTTTAAGAACACTTCACTACGCATGCGCGGGCGTCATCCGGAACTTTCTATCGGCTGGCTTCTTCCGACACACTCGATCTGGCCACACTGACGCGGTAAACAAGAAGGCTTAAGCTGGTGGCCCTTATTTCAACCGTTGCTTCTTTTCTCTTTTTAATTTCTTGCTTTAAAATAAATTAATTTTAATTATAATTTTATCAGCAGCCTTTCCACAAGCCACACAACACAGCACATCAACAACCATCCTACAAATACAGGGTGCTTCAAAAAAATGTATACACACTTTGAACTTCCATAGAAAATTTATTTACCGTTCTACAAAGTTAAATTTCAGGAAAATAGAAAACTGAAAGTCCAATATAAATGAAACATAAATAACAAATGTTAATACTGTTCAAATTGGTGACCTGCAGCATCAATACAATTCTGAGTACGAGTCACCACAGATTCTGTACATCGTATCAAAACGTCCAATGAGATTTCTCTACACACTGCTTGAATCTCATTCCAAAGAATGTCTAGGTTACATGGTTTACGTTTGTACACCTCATCTTTTACTGTGCCCCACAAGAAGAAATCCAGTGGTGTAAGGTCTGGAGAGCGTGCTGGAAACTCGATTGGCCCCCTGCGTCCTATCCACTGGCCCGACAAATTTTGATCCAGCATAGCTGTAGAAGGGCAGCTTGCGCCCGAAAGCTTGAATGATTTTTCAAATAAAGAAACTTATCATTTTTGAATCTATTCGTTATTATATATTAACATTTGTTATTTATGTTTCATTTATATTGGACTTTCATTTTCTATTTTCCTGAAATTTAACTTTGTAGAACGGTAAATAAATTTTCTATGGAAGTTCAAAGTGTGTATACATTTTTTGAAGCACCCTGTATATAGTTGGTATTTTAAATATTATTATAAAATGAGTATATAAACCTTTTTAAAAATATAAATGTACATTGACTATGGGTGTTTCAGAGCTTGAACCTGTACAGCACCATTGGAGGCTATGTCAGCATCTGGCTTGGTCTTTCTATTTTGGAGATACTGGAGTTCTTCTTGGGTGCCTACCAGATATTCCTGAAGTGGCTGATGGTGCGGAGAATGCGGGAGAACTCCGTTGTCTCATTTAGATATTAAACACACAATATATATTGTATATGATTGAAAAGAAAAATGTATTTTCAATTAACATTATTCAACGGAAACAAGAAAGCCCGCTGTCCCGCAAAAGTCACTGGCGTTATATGAAAATAAAGAAAAGAAAACCTCGTTTTTATTGAATTAATAGAAAATTACAAGGGAATATAATACGAAATAATTTCAGATTATTTGGAATTTGAATCTATTTTCCCTCATAAACATATTTTATCGTCTCGAAAGATAACCATTATCACACATATTATTGGGAAACACGTAAAGTGTATTTTTCTTAAAAAGGAGAGAAAATATCTAAAGCGAAGCCACTCTCTAATTTTAGCATACCTTTAAGCTGAAAAAAAAATATATGGAATAAATCTTTATTCAATTCAGAGTTTATAATTCTATTGAATGATTCGAAGGTGTTTCTTTATAGAGTAGTTTATGTTATGATTTTACAAGAAAATAAAATTAGAATTAAAAGGTAACCCAGAAGGATTGCGCAAAATAAATTATTTTAAATTCAACATTACCAAACACTTATTTTAAATTATAAAATTAATAAAATACAAAATATAATTTACCTATTTATAAACATAAAAAATATATATTAGTAGTGTAAATAATACCGTGCGGTTTTTCTCGAAAATTGAGTCTTTATTGTGAAAAATTGGATAGAAATCTAATATTGAAAGTATTGTCCGTCGCTAGCCGATACCTTTTCGTATCTTTATGGCAATTGACAGATACCATCGCGTAAAAAGGCCGACTCTTTGGCCTCTAACCATTCATCGATATATTTTATGGAGAAGTGCTGGTCAGCCAGGCCATATTGCATAGATCGGAAGAGCTAATAAAGGAAGGAGCTATGTCTGAGCTATAAAGCGGGTGGGGTAGGACTTCCCATTTGAGCATTTCTAAGTATGTTTTAACGGGTGCTGCAGCATGTGGCGAGTTTTTTCATCGTTATTAAGCATCTATCATCACTTTGTCGTGTCTATTGACGTATTTCAGCCGTTTTTCTTGCAAATCTCGACTCAAACGCATCAATTGTCTTCGGTAGACCTCCCGTGTGATTATTTAGTTCCGTTTTGGCAGCTTATAATATACCACTCCTAGCTGATCCCACCAAATACACAGCATAAGCTTCTCGTCATGAATGGCCGTCGATGATGAGGCAGCCCAGGGTATCCATACGTTGCCCGACGTTTAAGATTATTGTAATGGCCCACCTTTCATCGCCAGTTACAATTAAATGCAAAAATATAACTCTTTTTGACGGTGGAACAGTTTTTCACACGTGAAAAAATGGCGGTCGACGTTACTTGACTTCAGTTCATATGTTACCCAATTTTCTACCTTTCGATTTTTCCCATTTCTTCTATGCGATGAAAAATAGCTGGTTGAGGGACTCAAGTTTTTTTGCGAGTTCCTTTTGCGTTTGTGAAGGATCTTCATAGAGCCTCGCCTCTAATTATTCACCCTCAAAATTTAGTGGCGCTCCTGGTCTCTCTCAGTCTTTTAAATCAAATTTGCTACTTTTAAACCATGCAAACCACTTCTGACACGTTCGTTCAGCTAGAGCATGGTCACCATAAACTTTCTCTAAAATACGATGACTCTCCGCTGATTTTTTATTTATATTGAAGTAATGAAGTAAAATTACCTGCAAAAACGCATTATTTGGTACAATAATTGACATTTTAGGAGTAAGCAGTAACTAGGTTACAATACAATGTAATGCGGCTTAAAATTGTAGAACGACATTTGAAAACAATCCCGCATGTGTTTCTTTTGAAACGAAAATCGAAATCCATTTTAAGGAGAAATAACGATTATTTCTAACCTTAGGGATTAAGTATGAAAGGGTGAATTGTGAAGAGTAATGATAAACGGAAAAATAAAAGTGTCCAGGGATGGGAACTGTGGGTTCGATTCCGAGTTTTATTTCTAAAGAAACACATGCAGAATAGTTTTCAAATGTCGTTCTAGTAACTAGGTTGTTCATACTTCAGAGAAATTTAGGTTACTGAAAAAGGAAGCCTAATGATCACGTTTCAGAATAATGGTGTTGTCAGATTAAACAGTGGAATAATAAACTGGTAGCGCCATATTTTTTTTTAAAGAGCACGAACTAATTTTAACCCCTAATAAATATTTTATCATGATAAAAAAACAGCCAAAAAATTATTTTCTAATGACCTTTATATTCGACTAGCCAAATGACCCGGGCAACGCCCGAGTTTTACTCGATTAAATGTTTTTATTCAAATACTATTCGTTACAATTATAAATTGGAGCCGTGGATGTCACTCTTGTGAAACGTCCCGCTCCAAACTTACATGTACATTAGATCAGCTGGTATTACCCCCCCATTTTCACCGCTAGAGGCGCGAGCGAAAGAGCAAATTTGCAAATAACACGACGCATATTCGGGATAGAGACCTGAAATTTTCACTGAGTTTTTCCAGACTCTACTTTATATACTCTTAAAATTTCAATCAGATTAGTTACGTATTGTGGACGTGTATAGTTGACAAACATACATACATACATACGCTGACTTTTATATATATATATAGGGATAATAATATAAATGAGTTTCAAAAATTGTAAAAAAAAAAGGAAAGGCCGGAAATCGAACCCGGGCCGCCCGCGTGGCAGGCGAGCATTCTACCATTGAACCACCGATGCTTATAAGAAATGGCCCTATTTGGGTATTTATTCCATTCACAAAAGCAAACGATGACAGAATTGTTGATGACTCTGATACTTGTATTTATAATCATGTTAGCATAATGAATTAGTCAATATTCCCATGGTTTCCAGCGAAGAGGTGTGAATTGACTTTTTGAAAATATACCTTATTATAAAGATAGAAGCTTCTATAAAAATAACTAAAATAAGCCGAAATAGCTCAGTTGGGAGAGCGTTAGACTGAAGATCTAAAGCTCCCTGGTTCGATCCCGGGTTTCGGCATCTTTTTTTTAATTTTTAAATTTTTACTTACTGTAACTTGACACGTGACTTAACGTGACAGAATTGTGCATGACTCTGATAACTGTATATATTAACTAGCCGAATGACCCTGGCAACGCCTGTATTTTACCTGATTAAATGCTTTTATTCAAATACTATTCGTTACAATTATAAATTGGCGCCGTGGATGTCATTCTTGTGAAACGTCCCGCTCCAAACTTTGTGTCTGAGAAGCGATATTTTTATAAAGAGATGATCTGGCTTTGTGTCTTCTGCTCGAATGAATGTTTTTCTGTTAGAATTTTGTTCCTGCATACTAAAAATGAACTGGCTTCACCCGTGGTCTCTGCTTTTTGGAATTTTTCCGGATATAATTTTGTATATGATAATCAAATATGATACAGCAATATTGTCATCATCATTTTCTGAATAAAAAACAACTACTTTTTCCCAGAATCTGTCATTCATTTTTCTTGACTAAAAATCCGAAAAATATATTTTACATATTTCTCTCTATGCCCTGTTAGAATACGTTTTACATGTCCATTAGGTCAGCTGGTATTACCTCCCATCTTCACCGCTAGAGGCGCTGTTTGCGAGCGAAAGGAAAAATTTGCAACGCAATTTGCAAATAACTTATATACTTGTGTACATAGACCATAAATCTGTACATAGACAAGAAAATAACATTTATTTTAATAATATAAATGAGTTTTAAAAATTGTAAAAAAAATGCATCGGCCGGGAATCGAACCCGGGGCGCCCGCGTGGCAGGCGAGCATTCTACCACTGACCAAAAGCAAACGGTGACAGAATTGTTGATGACTCTGATACTTGTATATTTTATTCTACATTTTTTTAGATATATTATTATTATTATTAGATGATGAAGAAATATGATAAAGCTAGGACACATACTGCAGCACCCGTTAAAACGTACTTAGAAACTCTCAAACCAACCTACCCCTCACGCCTTATAGCCCAGAAATTTCACTTTCCGATTATTATCACTTAAATCAATGCATCATTGCGTGGCTAATCAGTACTTCTTCAATTACGATGAAGTGAAAAAATGGATCGATGAATGAATAGTGACCGAAGAACCAGTCTTTTTTTTTTTTTGCAGTAGCATCCATTAATTGCCAGAAACATGGAAGGAAGTAGTGTCTAGCGACGGACAATACTTTGAACATACTCCACTAATCGAAAGTTAAGATTCAGTTAATCTTCGAATGAAATCACTATATTATTAAGTAAACGATGTAAGCAAGGAGGACCCTTATCTCCAACAATTTATAACATCATAATGAATGATCTATTATTTACCTTTTAGGAATCTAATAGCGATTTTATTGGTTATGCAGATAATCTAACGAAGATAATATGTTGGAATACAGATGTAACAAATATTCAGATTATAATTAAAAATCCAAGAGGAAAAATAAATATGTGGTATGTAAACTACAAACTCAAAATATCAAAACAGACAACCAAAATTTTATATTTGTTTAATTGTAGAACCGATATAATTAATTTGCACGATAATGTTGTCAACCCACACACCCACACACACAAAAAAAAAACATTTTAAAAACATTTTTTAAAATACTAGGATTAACTTACAAGAGAATCATTAAACCAGAATAAATCAGATTTGATGCCTCACATCGACAATGTTATTGCAAAAACAACTAGAGCTAGTGGTTATCTTCTTCGTTTAACTAAAATAATAGTAAGGATTGAAAAGTAGGCTATCATTATCATTATATAACCCCTTATTTAAAATCACAATAACTTATGGTTCAACAAACTGGTACCCATATATAAACAAAAGATTTAAAACCAAATTGGATTCACTACAGTACAAAATTCTTGAACTCTGAACATGCTCATAATGCAACATCTTCGAATTGTACACATGTTCTCGCAAGAATACCTGAAATTACTGATTTCCTTTTGTCAAACATACTTAAAGTTGAAATATAGATTATTAATAAAATAATATAAAAAAAATTATGATAATATATAACTTTATAAATGAAAATTTTCAAAAATACTAATAATATTCCAATGACAATTTCACAGAGTTTTTTGAAAACTCAAACTTACCAAAATTATACAGCCAAATTTTATAATAAACAATTTTTATATGGGGCTTGAAGACTAACACAAACTTAAACATAATTGATAGAATTGATTCTTCAATCTGCTTATGCGCATAAGAATATCTCACCCTGAGCATATTTCAATCCGGTGCCCACTTGTTTCAGATTTGAGAGTTCAATGTCAAATGAACAGTTACAGTTTGAGTCGAATAGTTTTCAGAGAAGACGAATATAGAAAATTTTAAAAATACTGCAAACTATATCTCAACTACCGTGGACCTAAATTACACTAGAGAAATGAAAATTCTAGGTATAATTAAACTGCCGGCCACCGTAAATGCTACAACCTGAAAGAAGCATGCAAATAACATAAAATTTACAACATGTATTAGCGGAGGTGAGATATACAAATGATTAGAATTTCAGCGCAGACATACATCACGCTACCTGTGGCTCCACTTCAAAGCAATATTTAAGGCCTAAATATTTCGACGATTTCAGATTCGGTAATTCGGTTTTTATTGTGTTTAAAAACGATCAATTATGCCTCGTAGAAAAAATCGATCTTCTTTTGATCAAGTATCTGAGTTCAGCAGAGGAAAGATAGTGGCCTACCGAGATTGTGGATTATCTTTCAGGGAAATCGTAAGTCATGTTGGAAGAAACCAAACAACTGTAATGTCGATATGTGATCGTTGGATGCAGGAAGGTACGACGCACCGACGTGTTCGATCGCATCCGTCTCAGTGCACCACTGCACGTGCTGACAGGCAAATTGTGCGCATGGCAGTAACAGATCGCTCAGTCACACTACGAACCGTAGCAGAGCACATTCAGTCTGTAACGCATCATCCAATTTCTGCGCGTACCATTCGACTCCGTTTACAGCAGAGTGGTCTGTCGGCAAGAAGTCCATTGCTTCATATACCCTTGACGCAGAACCACAGACGTTTCCGCTGCCAATATTTCGAAGAAAGAAGTGTTTGGACGGGAGAATGGAATTAAATTAGCTTTACTGACTAGTCACGCTTCTATCTGCAACACCACGATGGTCGGATTCTAGTCACGAGACACCGTGGAGAGAGGATGCTGAAAGGCTGAGTTATGCACCGCCAAAATGGTCCTGCACCGGGTATTATGGTAAGGGGCGGTATTGGATATCACTCTCGCACTCCTCTAGTAAAAATACTGGTACTTTAAACACTAAACGCCACATCTCCGAGTGCTTGCCCACAGCCATATTTCAATAGAAAAATGCGCGACAAAACAAGGCACTCATTGTCCGTAGGTTCTTCGTCAATCGCCAGATTGAATTGCTTTCCTGGCCGGCTCGATCTCCGGATCTTTCGCCGATAGAAATCATTTGGATCATGATTTCTCAACGATTGAACCAGATAACATTCCCAGCTGCCACACCAGATCAACTTCGGCAACAAGTGGAAACCGCACGGTCTGCTGTTCCCAAAGCCTCTTTTAATCAATGCCGAGGCGTGTGGCAGCAGCGATCTCAAACAATTGCGGCTACTCTGGCTACTGATTCTGGAAGGAATCACACTTCGCAGAAGTCTATATTTTTTAAGAATTTACTACTTGATCATCATGTTATCTTCAAAATAAATTTTGTTATGATATCTCTTTTCTTTCTTGAGGTTGCAATTTGGGTGGCCAAGTGTGTAGTATTGTTCTTTTTATTTCAAAATAATATATTTTCATACCATTAATTTGGTAATTAATTCTAACGTTATTTTTTTTATAATAGATATGTAAATAAACTTTATTTCTTGAATATTATTGCACAAAAATGTTTATTTAGATAACTTTCATTCTTTCTTCAAAAATAGAAATAATTTGTATATATATTTTGAAACTATGTAGGAACATAGGTTTAAAAATTACATGCAAATATCCACATAGGATATAGCGTGTTTTTTGTAATGAATAAATAAATACTTTGAACATTGAATGCCTAACCAATTTTTCAAAATAAACCTTCAAATATGAAAAGAAATAGCACGAACTATAATATACTCTCAATATTAATACACTATATAAATATCACCATAATTACACTATATAAATATGCTATTTCCAAATTCAAAAAGTGGAAGCTTCCAAGGACAAAGCTGTCAGGTACTGAAAAGACATTGGGGACCACCTACCCATCAAGCATCGACCTTATACAGTAGCAAAAAAAAAAAAAAGAACGGAAAATCTTTCAAGATGAATTCTCAGAATGGAGGGTCATGACATCGTGCATTGTCTGTCTCCAAGTCCGTGGGCTATTTTCTTGATGAGAAAAATATATTGCATCGATTACAGCCGTCTGAACGAAAAGTGATATCAACCCACTTCTATTGTTTAATTACACCTTGATTTCTATTCCTATAGTGAGCTATAAGCAGGGTAGTGTAAAATAGATGTAGATAAATCACACTTACGTAATGCGCCAGCTAATTATGAATGAATGATGGATAACCTTCTGAAGCGTCAAGGTGACCATCTGCCCCTGTTATCTAAACTGCTGGCTATCATAAATGTAACACCCTGAAATAATCATCCAAATAACATGATATTTATAAATTGCATTAGCGGGGTGAGATATGCAAATGAATGGAATTTCAGCGCAGACGCACATCATGCACGCTTGTGGCTCCACTTCAAAGCGTTATTTAAGGCCTGGAGATTTGGACGATATCAAGTTCGGCAATAGTGTTTTTCTTGTATTTAAAAAAAAAACAATTATGCCTTTTAGAAAACAGCGATCATATTTTGATCAAGTATCCGAGTTCGACAGAGGAAAGATAGTGGCCTATTCGATATCGTGGATTATCTTTCAGAAAAATCGGTAATCGTTTTGGACGAAACCAAACAACTGTAATGCGGATATGTGATCGC